ATTTACAAATTCACTTGGTCGGTTGTGAAAAATGTATTGCAGTACTTCATCACATGTGTTATTTATATCCAATGCATTTCAGTACTTCAGTATTTATTGCTATGCAACTAGAAGGAGTGACTCTTTGGCAGACTTCAGACAAATATGTATGTATCTATTGCAGTGGCAATTGGGTCATTAAAAATTCTTCCTTCTGAATGTGCGTCATAAAACATGAAGAGGATTCATGAAGAGTTTTCTGGCCAAGAGATTTAGAAGGCCTATTATTCTGCTCCCAGTATTTACCCTCTGGTTCCTCAGGAATAGCAGTTCTCAGTTGGAAAGTTTCTGCTGCCTTTGCCTCTGCTCTCTGGAGCCGGTGTAACTTTTCCATTAACTTAAACAAATGCTGCTATATTTTTAGACCATGTAATTACCCTACATCAGCAGACTGAGCCCTGTGAAAGTACACTGGAGAAAGATTCGAGCCCTATGTTTCTCTACTTATAAAACTCTGAAACCCAAACCTTCGGATGTGGTGATTAATGAAATGCCTCTTGATCATTTGATCTGATCCCACTTGCTGAGGTAAATTGTTTCAGTTTTCCATTGACATAGATAGGATTTTTTGGCATAATGACTGGAGGGCAAAAACTTCACACTTGAAAAGACATACAACTCGGCGTTAGTGCATGACCACTGAGAATTGTAGCACTTTTTAAACTTTCTTCATTCCCCCCTCAAAGATCAAGGAAACATTTTTGTTATGTCCAAAAAGAGGCCTTTGCTTGAGATGTTTTACGAACATTGTGGTAATAGCATTAGCTGCATATACTCTGCCATTCAAAACTTCAGCAGCTCTGTGATTAAAGGCATTTGTCAGGAGGCAACAGGCATTTGGCAATGACAAAATCTGTCATTTTTCATGAAGTTGGAGTGTGCCAGTCAACAGCTGCATTAGGCTGTCATCATAATGTACCGCAAAGACATGGGCAGATTCACAATGCCACCATTAACACTTTAATTCAATGTTTTGATAACAGGGTGCTCCATAAGGCATACAGTTGGTCTCTTCTGTCATATAAGTCAGTGCCTGTTTCAGATCTGTCTGTGCTTAACAGTAGGGATTTATAATGGTAACTGTACAACAGACAAATGATGCCTCACTTGCTGCAATATTTCATTTTCCTCCTTTGCTTGAAAAGGCTATTTCAGAGACAGAATATGAAGGACTGGTATCACATATTTGCACTGGAGGGGTATCTATGAACATACTCCTACCGCAGCAGTAAGCACGTTACTGATCCATTTAAAATGATAGCACAAAAATCTTTACTGTATGAAAAATAATGTACATTTTTAATGACTTTTGAATACCACACAAGCCTTCATGTTGAGGAAGCAATAATTGCCACTGAGGGCCATAAAGAATGTCTAGATTAAAAATATTCAATATAACTGATTTGGATCAAGGCAAGGCGATGCTGAACGAAATGTTAGCTTATGAACACACTGGTATATTTTATTTTGCAGGTAATATGGCTTTTTATCTCTTGGTAAGTTTTTATAAGGCCCCGCCTCACTATAGTATATAACAGGAGCTCCCAAGTATTTAAAAACAAACAGATAACAAAAATCATCAGGAAAAATAGGTTGATTTTTATGGGCTTTATTGTTTGTTTCCTATCAGTTTTTGTGGGAGTAATTTCCATAGTCTAGATCCAGCTCTGAAGGTCTCATAACCCCTGTGTTCATGGTCCCTGCTCTTTAAGAGTTCCATTTTTCCATTACAATATAGATGTAATGGGAGGTCAATGTCACAGAGAACAAGGTGATCTCTTGGGTAATTAGGCCCAGTTCCATGGAAAGCTTTGAATATCAAGATGGAGACCATGAACTGAATTCCACTCAGTGTGGAACTAGTGCAGAGAGCACAGCACAAGATGGATGTGTTCATAAAAACCTGCATTGCTGAGAACTCAGGAAACTGCATTTTGTACCTTCTGAAGATATTTTCGGGGTATGGAGCTGAAAGGGCTTGTGACTTTGACTAAGCAGTTTGCACATTAAGTCATATTAAGGAAGTTACTAATGTAAAGTGACCGTATTTTCAAAATAAAAATGGGGACAGTGATAGCTCCAACCACAGAGGGAAAATAGAAGGGTAGCAACTACAAGGAGCAGAATTATACCTCACATTAAAAAAAAAGGTAGAATCAAGAGAAAAACATCATAACCAGCCAGGGCTGAACTTAAGTGAATTCTGTCCCATCCATTAAAAAATTGCAGTTCTCATTATTTGTTACATCACATTGCATCTATATTTATACTAAGTACAAATGTTTAAAAATACTTTGTCTGCCTTGAATTGTTCTTTTGTCTTTCCCGTCACTCTATTATTTTCTTCTACTATGTTTTTACCATGTTTTCTTGTGTCTTTTCCACTCATCATAATTTTTTACAGTATGTAATCTTTGTTTTTCATTCTCTTTTTTCCCCTGTATTGGGTTCTCTTCCTCCTCCTGAGTATCCAGGCTCTTACCCCTCTCCTTTCAACACTCCTTCCCTCTCAGCTCCCCTTCCCAGTCACTGTACTATCTCTGTCATCTTCTCTCATCTTCCTTCTTTCTGTTTTTCCCACCAAAAACTCTCTCATACATTTTTGCGCCCTCAGAAATCTCAACAATCTTAAAAATCTGTTCCTGACATTTTGGTTATCAAATCCAGGCCCTTCACATGTATACAGCACAGAGACTGCAACAGTTTCACTGTATTACTGGATCTTTATCTTCTTAATAATCACCTATAGATATATGGGCCCCAATGGGAAATCTGTCTCTGTCCCTCCCACTACCTGTGCCAAATTCCACAATATGGTGGCTGAAGCACTAAAAAAGGGATGACATCATAAAAGCCAGCACCTCTGTGAGATTCCCCACTGGGTATGGAAGGGGATAGAGGAACAGGTTTTCCTTTATTGGTTTTCGTCATAGCTGGCTATAACGAATGGGTTACTTGGCTGATACTTCCAGAATAGAATGACTGTCAGGGACTGTAGGATGGGATCAACTGGACGGAAGGTTCGCCATTCCCTATGGCAATCACAAGGCAGAAAAAAGGGTAAGACCTCCAAACGCTGTTCTCCCAGTGACATCTCCAAACAGTCTTTCCACTCTCTAACTCCCCTGAAGCAGCGCCATTTTTATGTACTGTTATTTGGGGCAGCCTTTGTGTCCATTTGCTTGAGCTCCCTACTCCCCTGCACACCATGAAAGGAGCACATTGCTTCCACATTTCTTTCTGCACTGGACTGAGCAGCCTCAGAACCAAATGAGTTGGCATATAGCTAGGTCATGCAAGGGATTACTGCCACATAACACAGAGCCTTTCATGCACAGCTCTGTGAAAAAGCAATTGGGTCAATGGGCATTAAGGGCTCTTAGCATCTATCAGATAATCAGACCCATTAAGCTTTAAGTGAATTTTTTCCTCTTTGGTTTTATCCACATCCTTAGAGCTTAAGTGATCAATAAATAACTCCTGCAAAGAAAATCATGGTGGTGGGGAAAATAAAACATTTACATTTCTTTGTAAGGACCATTTAGCTTTTTCACAGGAATTCCCTCTACATTACAAGTGATGCTTCATTCTTTATGCTTACCTTTCCACGGGAATAAAATCATTGTAGGTACATTTGATATGGACATGAATCCAGGCTCTAGATCCAAATGCCCTCCATGTTTTTGGGAAGTGTGGGGGAAGAAGAAGGAGTTTGAATTCAGGATCTCAATTTTACATTTGAGGCCCATATATAATTTACAAAATGGCAGTACAAAATAAAAGAAACAACTACAGAGTGATTATCTTCTTCCTCTTCTGAAATACTGTGTTCTTTAAAGTGCCATTGTTATGTACTTGAGTCTTGGCCAGCAGCTCTGAACAGAAGCCTTTTTAGTCCCTGGAATAGGAGCAATGCTGTAGAGATCTATTGTCAGAGACTCATACACAAAAAGGACACTAATCACTACCATGGTAAGACCTAGACTTTCATTGAAAACTTGTCAAAAAATTTCCAATGAAACTTTTTTCCAACCAAAATTGGGGTTTCAACAAATGAAACATTTTCCTCCATTTTTTTAAATTTTTAATTGAAAAAAAATCAATAAATCCTCTAAATTTCTACAGAAAAAAGTTTTCTACAGAAAAAAAATCTGAACAGCACTACTCTACATTATCATTCAGATTGTACTGATTTAGGCTTCATGAACCAGGTTGTATTTCAGTGTATTTACTGTGATATTAGAGTCATATCAGCACAAACAACTCTCTGCAAAAATCAATTCAGGAACCTTTATGCAAAAAATTAAATAAGAAGATTCCTTAACCTCGAATTATTGGGAAAAGAAAAATATTTCTTCCAGGGAACCTCATCATGGTGTCTCTTTACTGCATCCTTCTAGATTCACCATCACTATAATCATTACCACAATCTGGTTCTCATTCCTTCAGCTGCTTTATTTTCACTTTTTTTTAAAATCTGATGTCTATATGTGTTTTATTATATCCCACTCTGCAAATAGATCTCTTTATTCCACTTTTCTCTATTGCAAGTTTGACTCTATGCAATCATGGGTATTTTACAAGCTGTTGAACATAAGTGAAATAAACTTCCCCTCTGCTACCATTACTATATCACATGCTCCCTTAAATTTCATTTTATGTTTCCCCATTGTTTATAATGTCAAATGACCCTTATTCTTCTTATTATTTACACTAGTTTTGTGCTAGTGTAACTCCATAAATTTCAATAGAGTTATTCCTTACTTGCAGAATAGAAGTGAGGAAGAAGAATCAGACCAAAAATTAGCAGTTATACCAGTGTAAATCTGAGTAATTCCATTCTAAAGATTTACGGCTGGATGTTTCAGAGGAGGGCAGAACATGACCCACAAAGCTCTCCCTTTCAAAATGTGGTTAAAGTAGTTAATTATGGTTTGTAAAATACAAATTTTAGTACCTACCTACAAGTTTAAAAAGAGCAGACTGTCTGAATGCCTCTGAATGCTGGTATTTCAAAAGAGTAATTGAGGAAGCTGAAATGTGGATGAAGGATCCTGGCTTTGCAAATGATTCAAAGGAACTGTATCCTGGGAGCCATGTGTTCTTGTGGATGGCAAAGGTTGATCTGTTATGGAACTCTTCACTTTCTTCCCATTTGGAAAGAAGCAGGGTACCATTGGAAGCCAAATGAAGAAAATAATTTGGCCTATCAGCTGTTTCAAATGAAACCAAGTTGGGATCTGAAAAAAAACCACAACACAATCACTGAACTAAGCAGAACAAGCCAGATTTACCTTTGGTGTAACATCACTGAAGTCAATACCATTGGAATCCACAGTAAGGATGAATTTGGCCCAGTTGTTTTAAGGAAAAATATTTAATATTCACACAGGTTGCTGCTTTACCTCACACTGAATACCTTGCTGTCCCAATAATTTGGCATGACTGTTATGCATGGTAAGGTGCTTGTCACAAGGAGGGTATAGTAATCTAGCCCACAGTGAGCATATAACTTCAGTTTACTCCCTCTGTTAGCCTTACATGTATCCAAAGTTAAAGCTCAAAAGCTTAATTATTCATTTAAAATGAAGTAACTCAAATGCATTTTACATTCAGCTTATAGGATCATGTTTTTCAGTTTCAAAGCAGCCAGCTCTCCAGTCATCCTCAGGACAAATAACATTAAAAACAGATCTGGAATATTCCTGTCTTTAGTAGCAGCTCTACTGTCACAACCTTATACAGGCTGACCAGTGTTTTACCCCTAAAACAGTCTCCTTGATTTCAAGCTAATTTCCTTTGGACCACTTGCAGAATAAGGTACTGCTCAATGAAAGAGCTGAGTCTATTATGAGCACCTGTTGTTAACAGTATTGCTTCATTTTATTTTTCTGTAAACTGTGGTATTCTGTTTAAAATAACCATAGAACTACTGTAAAATCAACTATCCCCTGAGGACTGGATAATATTTCTTTTAAAATAAGGCACAGAGAACAAATAATCTCTATTAAACAGATGTTTTATTATGCTTTGTACCATGGTTCTGGAGCACCACTTATCTTCCAACGATGACAACATTTATTTATTTGAAAAATAGAATTGCATGGAAGAAAGTATCTTTTCTAATACTGGCAACAGCAGATATACTGGCAATGAGATTAATATCACCTATTGCAAGGTAGAGAAGCTTTTTTGGGTCAGAAGCCGCAAAGAAAACTCAGTCAGGGGCTGCACACAAGTGAGAAGTCAAAAAAACAAAAAACAAAACAAAAACCAAACTCTCGCTGATGTGGCCCCTGACTGAGAAGGAGAAAGACACTCCCCTTACACACTAGAGCACAGTGGGATCTAGGCTAGTAGATTTTGTGTGCCCAGTCCCTTAGTAGGTCTGGATTCCCCAGTGCTAGGAGGGAAGCCCTGAGTGTCGGGGGCTGGATCCAGGCAAGCCAGGGGCCGCATCTGGCCCCTGGGCCTGCAGTTCCCCACCCCGACCTATTGTGTATACAAGTGTTACTTTGTTACCAAAAACTCCCAGTCTTCTTTTGTCACTTGTCTGAAGCTAACAAAATTAAAATTATTTTTCCTGAGATACAATTTATTTATAAAAACAACAAAGAATCCTGTAGCACCTTAAAGGACTAACAGATTTATTTGGGAACAAGCTTTCGTGGGTGAAAACTACTTCAAAAGAGGCACTAAAAGCTTATGCCCAAATAAATCTGTTAGAGTATGTCTACACTGCATTCCTCGTTCAAGCGAGTAATGCAAATGCAGCTGAGCAAAATTGCAAATGAAGCACGGATTTGAATTTCCTGCACTTCATTTGCATAATCGCATCCAGGCACTATTTCAAATATCTTATTTTGAAAAAAGAAATGCTGTCTAGACCTGGTTATTTTGAAAGAAAACCCTTCTTTCGAAATTACCCTTTCACCTTATAAAATGAAGTTTAAGGGTAATTTCGAAAGAAGGGTTTTCTTTCGAAATAACCGTGTCTAGACAGCATTTCTTTTTTCGAAATAGGGTATTTCGAAATAGTGCCTGGACACGATTATGCAAATGAAGCATGGGAAATTCAAATCTGTGCATCATTTGCGATTTCGCTCAGCTACATTTGCATTCCTCTCTCAAAAGAGGAATGCAGTGTAGACATACCGTTAGTCTTTAAGGTGCCTCAGGACTCCTTGTTGTCTTTGTAGATACAGACTAATACAGCTATCCCTTTGAGACTTATCTAATTTATAAAATTACATCTATGTGGCTGCTCTGGATAATCACAAAGGAAATGGCAAAATAAATGGGCTGATGATGCAAAGAAAGAGTTATATCAATTTTGTAGGCTTCTCCAAGGCCAGATGACTAAATGACATCCTATTAGTGTTATAATGGAGTCTGCACATCCTGGTAGGCATGGCAAAACCCAAGTAGAAGAAATTTGTACATAGCTGGAAAAGGAGACAGACCCTTTCTCCCAAATCAAAGACAGCATACGAGGCCCTAGTACATCAAAACTGAGATTCCTGCTACAGGCTAAGAACACATGTAACAGCTCTGGCCCTCTGCATTCTCCAATATGTAACATTGGGACAGTTCTACACTGGGACCAAACTCACTAGTTAGAACCTCAGTCAACCCATAATGCCCCTTTCTATGGTCTCACATGAAAAGCTACCAAAGAACATTGATTCACGGCTAGCAAGAGGTGCAGAGTCTGTGCCAAGCTTTCTAGGAACCTGATCAGCCATTTCTGGTGCATCTTAAGTTAAGGAGCATTAAAATATTTATTATAACCAACTTTCCTGACAGGAAATGGGATGCACAAATAACTGCAGTATTTCACCAACATCCTAAAATACTGAAAATATTTTTTAAAAATCCTGCATGCTCCTCTGAAGGGGTAGAGGGCCTCTTTGTCAGCCAAACTGGTGAAATTCTGGTATGAAAAGGCAAGCAAGATTTGAGGAGGTCACTCAGGAGATGTGCTATTCCTGTGCAAGGAGAGGCTCTGCTTCCAGATGGCTCCCTCCAGGACAGAGGAAATGAGAGGTGGCTGAGCAAGGAGTGAGCTGAAGCATCTGTTGTTACATCAATCCTTCCAATCATCTCCATCCCTCTCTCCTGCCATCGAGCACATTGGTCATATGGAGTTTACAATGTTGTTTTGAAAAATAAAAGTATCTATTTATAACCCTGGAATCATCCAATTAAAACACACTGACTGCCGCAGTTGGCTGACATGGTTACAATTTAGAATCAGCAGATAGCTACAGAGCAAACATCTGTGGGCAATTTTGCCCTCAGGTGCAGGACTATATTCAAGGGCAGAATTTGTTATGTGTGTTCGCTACCCCCTCAGTCTTTATCTGTATTTATTTTAAGGTTACAGCGACTTTACCATGTGCTTTAGGCTTATACCATCCTGAAGTCAGCATAAAATTCACAGCTACTCCTGGAACTAAATCTTCTGCTCTTGCTGGGAAAACATAACCACCCAACAGTTTGGCTGCCATCGTGACTTCTCCATCCAAGTAGCTGACCAGTTTGTAGGGACCCTTTCCTAGAACTGTGGAGAGAGAAGCCAAAATTTACTTTCATGATGAGTGTCACAAATGCTTGAACTCTCATATATTACCTTAGGCAATGATGTAGTGGCAAATTAAACAAGAACAACTCCAGCCTGACAACTACTCCAGATTCCATGTGCTAAACTGAAATGGTAGTGCCTCACGAAGCAATCCTACCCTTCCAAAAACAGAAACAAAATCCAAACAATACTTCCACCTAGTAGCAGTAATTAGCACAAAATTTACAACTTCATTTCTTAAATGTTTGTGAAAACTTTCCCTTTTCCTCCATGCCACCATATTACTCTAGGTTTCATTTTTAATTCAGTTCAACTAACGTAAAATGTAGCTGACTCCTGCGGACAATAATCTTGCAAGAAGTAGAACTAGATAATTAGCATGATCCTTGCAGGCTTTAGACTATATAGATAGACATGTATAATAAGATTGAACATATTTAGGCTTTGTAGATTTCTGTCAGTAAATGATAAACATCGATTTCACTGCACCCCTAATTTTACTTTGCTACAGCCAGGGATCATTAGACTCATTTTCATAGATTATAAAGCCAGAAGGAACAGTTGTGATAATCGAGTCTTGCCTCTTGCATAAATCAGACGGCCTTCTCCCAAAAAATTCTTGTTTGAACAAAAGCATGTCTGTTGGAAAGACATCCAATCTTGATTTTAAAAATTTCCAGTGATGGAGACTACCAGAATCCTTGGTAAATTTTTCCAATGGTTAAATTACATAGAGCTGAGAAAATACGAGATATTTCATTTTGCTGGCAATTCCAAAAAATTAGAGAGAAAAATCAGGTCCGATTTGAGAGTTTAAAAAAATTGAGAGTTAAAAAAAAATAATGTGGGGGAACAAAACTTTAAATTTCATTAAAAGCTAAATAGTTTGTTTCAATTTGGCTAATTTTCAAACATATGTGTTTGCTTTTCATAAAATTAAAGGAAATTTTGAAACAAAGTCATTTCAAAACAAACATTTGAAGCATCTTCCCTTGAAAATACAACATGACAAATATTTGGAATTTTTGGTTTAGGGTTTTTTCATCTGAAACAATTCAATGAAACTGACAGGTATTTACAGATTGCTTTGGAGTGACTGAATCTGCATTTTCAACTGAAAAAAGTTTCAGACTAAAAGTTCCCCCATCCCTAGTAATTTTCTCTGGCCTTTTCATATGATGAGTAAGGGCAATAGAGAGTCATGAGGGGGAAGGAAAAGGAAATAAGGAAATTTGTGTGCAGCCATCTTGGTCTTGTTAACAAGAGAGCAAGAGTCAGGCTAAGTCTGTGGCCTGACAATGCAAGATCTGTAATTAGACGCTGCCTTTGCCTCTCGCCTCCATACGGAGATAAGGATAGAAAGCTGACTCTGGCAGGGACCTTGAGATAAGGAGCATCTGGGTGGAACTAAAATAACTGTTAGCCATTGGTGTTTGTAATGGGAAGGAGACTAATTGTTATTATATCTAATGGACAGTATATAAACTGCTTCATAATTGCTTGTATTTGAAGATCTGCCTCGGAGGGGGAGGGAGACTTCCCCCTCCCCGTCTGAACCAGTTTTTCTCTTGCTGCAGCTCGTAATAAAACTGCCTCTGGCTACTTGTTGCTTACAAATGCAGAGTGAGGACAATGTTTTCTTCCACTGTCAGAAGTAACCTCGCCTACTGAAGGCCCCATCCAACCTCTCTCTGAAGAGCTGGCTCCATTTCAAGTCCAATGCAATGTCCAAATACTACAGTACAAACTATCTCTAGAGAAACAAACTTCTTCACAGATACAACAGCCAGATGTGGAAGGTACTCTGAACCATGAATATTGTTCGGATCAGATTGTTTTAGTTAGTTTAGTTGCTTGTTCGTGGCTATCTCTTGAAAGTAACTCCCTCTTGAGGCTACCCAGGGAAATGCCAATGGGAGACTAGATCATTTTAATGACTGCAAACATTTCACGTATCATTTTAAGAGAATACTGTTGTCCTTAGAGCTAAATACCAGTCATTTTTACGAATCTTTAGAGGTAACTAGTTATTTCAGTAAATTTATTCCAGATTATTCTGTGCCTTTCATAAAATAATGGATTTTTTAGGCTCAGGTATATGCAAGTCCGTTGTTTTTAGCATATGAAACAGTACTGAGGAACCTCTTATTATATGGAATGGTTAACTTGTATCACAGAAGGAAACAAGTCTGTTTCAAAACTGGGGATTCCATTGAACAAAATTAGCTGTCGCTTGTGTATTTTCCATATATTTTTCTCTCTCTCTTCTTCCCTCTATCTCTTGTTCACATTTTCTTTTATCAATAATACCTTTCAGTGTTTTATAAGAGATATTGCTATTAAACCTATTATCACTTAATAATGTAGTAAACTAGTCCTTTTCTAGCTGTTTTTATGAATAAGCTATAGATGGACCTAAACCAAAATGATGAACATCCCTAAACTTTGGAGTTGAATTCATTTCCACAACACAATAGTTTTCACTGGTTACATTCTTTTAAACCACATAATCAGCTATGATAATATCGTGATTGGCTGGCAAAATTCAATTGGATAAAATATGTCATTAGTTATTTAATGAACACTTACTTATTTATGATCTCCAAAGATTTCCATAGACAGACAGACAGACAGATATATAGATAGATTAGAGTGTGATAGTTTGTGTGTCTATCTGCGAGTCCATCTGTTTAAGAACTCCTCCTAAATGGTAAGAACAAGGGCCACCAAATTTGGTGTGCAGCTTCCTCTTCTTCCAACTTACAGAAAAGCCCTTGGTGGCTGGGGAGGAGGCTGAAGGGGAGGGAAGGCTCGTGGTGGCTGACGGAGGGGGTTGGAGGGAGAATGGAGGGGTTGGGGTGAGAGAAAATGTACCTGGTGGCTAGGGAAGGGCTGGAGGGAAAAAAGGCTTCTGGCGGCCAAGGGAGTTGTGAGGAGAGAACAGGCACATTTCAGATGGGACACACACACCAGGATCCCACCATCACCCCAACCCTTTCTCTCATACACTCCCCGCCCCCAGCCTCCTGCACCCTCACATCCCCAAGGCCAAACCCTGAGTCCTGCACACACACACACACACACACACACACACAACCCACTGCCAGCCCCGTCCTAAAGGACCTGGGCAAAAAAAAATTATATATTGATGAAGTAGGTCTATGTTCAATATGAAGTAGATTCCATGATTACTAGTTCTTGGAAACAATACAGAAAACCTGCAATACAGTAACCTGAACAGTAAAACAATATAGTTTTTGCAACTTCCATTTCTTTTCATGAACCAGGATCCAAATTTCCATTTATACACCACATTAAAATGTTTTCTTGCTTTCTCATCAACTCTTCATTACTGTAGGACTTACCTTTATTGAAATATTCACAGTCATAAGCTAAAAAAATAGAAAGGAAAGAAATGCTTAGCTACGGAAATTTTGCAGATTTGAAATTTAGATTAAAAACAAGTTTTCCTTTAACACACTAATGAAGGAACAAATGAAAGCTGTTCAAACTCAACGCTGGCTAAATTAGATTTTACACAAAATGTTACTCCTTAGCAAAGCATTTATTATAACATTTGAGGGGGAAAGCACTTCACTCTGAGCAGTCATTGCAAACACTTACAGTTATCTGTTTGTGACCTCTAGTGGTCAAGACTCAGATTTACGATTTTTCCTTGACACTGAAATGTGTGTGTACAATCTACAATGTCAAAAACTATCATGTAGCATCCCCATTCTACGAGGCTCCCTATGCAACCTTAGGCTAGCTCACATAACCGCTCTGTGCCTCCATTCTCAGTCAAAATGTGCAAATGTTTCCTTTTTGCCACCCTTTGTGTGATCCTTCGGTTGTTTGTCAGAATAAGATCCAACGTATAGACTGGTAATATGCTGGGCCCACTACTTCATTAAGAAAAAACTTACGACACACTCTGGGGGATCTCCAGTCTACTATGACTCCATGCTGGCAGCATTGATGTGCATACACCGATACACTTGTACAGAAACATTCACAATCACCTCCTTGGTTGCAACCACATGTGTCTGTCAAGCAATTTGAATAAAACCAGGTGACATCAACCTGAAGAATATAAATGTTATTGTAATAATAGTGAATAAGTCACAGACTTTGACAAGTGATCTCAATGCAGACCTATCAGACTTCGACAATTTTCACAAATAATTCTTAAAAATATGACAGGTGTTACACTAAGTGTCTGCCTAAAACATAAAGCATCCTCATATCATGAGAAACTTGTACACCGTTTAGAGGTACAACTGAATTAATCAGTGATGCACAGGAATCAGTTCAGCAATAAGTTGTCTTGAACTATGGGGTGGAGTAACTGTTTCTGCTGTCTTGAACTATGGGATGGGGTAACTGTTTACTTGTAATTTAAACTTTAATTAGCTAAAAAACTAAAAACATTAATTTCTGCAAATTAACCATAAATAAATAAACTTAGCAAGCTTGTTAAGAACCACTGGACACATCATTTAATAAGTAATCAAATGTGGTGCAATTATTTCTCTGTTCTTCGGACAATTTCATAAAAATAATTTTGTGATTTTTCCTCTCTCATAGTAATGAAGTCGTATTGTGTGTGATCAAATGTACAAGAAAAGTCAGTTATTTCCAGTGCTAAGTTTGCCCATTGAAAAATTTTAATGTGCTCTCTGCATAGGTCTACACTTCTGGAATATTTAGAACCCAGTGCAAAACAAAGTTTAATGGACCTAACCGCATGGAGAATGTTACTTTTGCATCATTATATTTGCACTAGCTAAAATTATATTATCACCCCAACCTGGGTCTTAGCTCTTGTCTATGAAAAAAATCATCTTTCTCCCTATGTACCATTAAAACAACTGAGACAAGCAGAAGGCCTCTAAGCATAGGCCAGGGTCATTAATTGTCCCTAGATTTGAATATCTTGGGGCAGGGTGTGGACTGTCAGGACAATTTGTAAGGTTCATTTTATTTCTTTTGGCTTTTGCTTGAGGAGATTTATTTAATTGATTCTAGGGTGTAAGTCTTCAGGGTTCACGTCGCTCTGCAACGTGCTGTACTTATTTAAATAGACTCAGAAAACGTGTCTGATAGGTGGCTGTTATTAAATATGTATGTAAATAAAATAATCCAGCAGGTAGCTATACGAGTGCACATGTAATGGGTAGATGGAAGAGAGGATTAGACTCTATGAGCCCCATGTGGCTCCCTTTACTCTTCAGTTTTAAAGGGACTAAAATGAGGTACAGGTTGGACCTTGCTGGTCCGGCACCCTCGGGACCTAACTGGTCCCAAACAAGGGGATTTGCAGGACCAGGGAAAGTCCCTCCCCTCGTGGCCGTGCTGCCACCGGGCTAGGGCTCCAGTCTGCCCCCACTGCTACCTCAGTCCCCCGGGGTTCTCTCTAGCCCCGATACTGCCGGGGCATGGAGCACCATGACCAGAGCTGCGCAACCAGGGCAGAGCTCTGAAGCTGTCTGGCTCTGCAGCTGCAGTGGAGGGATGGGGCTGGACCTCCATGGCCCAGGCCAGAGCCCATGGCTGCCGCTGGAGCTGGGGCTGGAGTTCCCCAGCCGCTGGAGCCATAACACGGCTGGAGCTTAGTGGTTAGATATGAGGCTAGAGCTCTCTGGCCAGAACCAGAAGTCCATGGATGCAGCCAGGCTAGAGCTCCCCGGCTGCTGCGACCAGGAGCTTTGCTGGGGCCAGAACTCCCTATCATGTCGTCCGTTCTTCCCCCACACACGCTGGGCTCCCGGCTGAGTCACTTTACAGCACTCCTGCCTTGCCACCAGGCCACCCTCCTCCTGGGCTCTGTGGTTCAGAAACATCCGTGGACCATGTTGGACCAAGGATGTCTCTGGACTAGGGAGTCCCGGTGAAGGGAGGTACAACCTGTACTAGTGAATGAAAGATGCACACTCAAGCCCTCAAGTATAGCTGGTTAGTTGAATGTGTCCAGGTGAACTGGAGATCAGCTGAGAGCACGTGATCATTATGAATGATGTAACTAAGCAAGTACTGATGCATCAGGATCAGAACAGATATGGGTCACATTTTCTCTGTCTCATTAGAAAGGACCAGAATTTAAAGTGGTTTCTTTTTAGTCATAAAACCAGAACTTCACATAATTTTATTTGTCATCACTACTCACCACTGGATGGCAAGCTTCGAACATTTCACTTAATAGTATCCCACATTCCTTCTTGGCAAAGGGCTCTCTAAGAGGGTTCAAGCTGCATGGATTTCGAATGTCAGAGCTGTCAACACACTACACCAGAAAGCAAAATTGTCATCCCCCAGACATGTTTCGCAACCACTGTGTTATCTGAACTTTCAAAACTTAACTTTTTCTTTAAAAAAGTCATGTGAGCACAAATCAAATGCACCATTTCTAAAGCACTCATTGTAGGAGTAAAGACGCTTTCAGACTTATTAATAGAGGAAGGTAAATTTGAGAAGAAGAAACAGCCCAGTGTGTAGAAATATTTCACTGGTTCTGAGAGAGAAAAGGGGGGAGCCACAGTTGTACACATTGACTTTGTTGCGGTTGAAGCCTTACTCACATAAGCAGTCCTGTTTGCATGAAAGATTACTCATATAACCAGGCATTGGGTTTTTCCATTATTTAAAAGTTTAATTGTACTTTTGAATAGCAAACTCAGAATTGCATATGTATTTAGTAATGTGTGGTTTCTTTCTGGTAAGCTAAATACTCAACATTAATTAATTTAAAATAAATACGTATATAGATACTGCATATGAAATAGTTAAAATACACAATTTATAATTACAGCTTTGCTATAGTACAAAAGATGGGAATATTTTAGAGTGATGTTCCTCTACATGTTTCTATTACTCTTCGAGCAATACACTGAATTGAAGGAAAAACTGCATTGCATTTAGAATAAATATAAAACAGAATATTACACATCAATCCTCCATGTATTGGTGCATTAGGAAGAAAAAAAATCCCTGTCCTTTTTTTCCTTGTTTCACTTTAATTAATTATTACAACAAGGTCAGTAGACATTGTAAACAAAATAATCCAACAGATAGCATCTGAGCTGGGATTTCAGGAATGGAATTTTTGGTTCCAAAGCTGATGAGCCATGAAGTGTTACACAACAAGTATTTACTAACAAAGCCATTCTTGTTATTAGTTACCTCTACAGCTGACCAGCTACTTCCAAACTCTTGAGGGTTTGTTAACTCAAAATTTTCTGGCGTTCTCATTTCATTTATTGTTTTCAAGTCAAAATTTCCACATAATCCTGTCAGTTCACCCTAAAAAAATTATATGTATTAGTTAGTGCTATTAACCTTACCCATTATTAAGTTTGCCTGTCATTTCCTATTATAAGCACCTATTTTCAGGTACTTATAATTTTGCCAAACTTCAGTTATTTAATTCTGGCAGCTGTGTTTGATAGATCTTCTAGTCTACTCTCTGAACCGTGGTCAGATAGTTATGTTAGTCTTGCAATATTCTACAAATGACTTTAGGTGAGATGATCCTCTACTTACCTGCCACTGAGGTCCAGTCTGTATGTGAATAGTTGTTCTCTGGTCCCACAGAATGGTGATGTGTTCATTAGGAAAATGGACAAGTGTGAAAAATCCAGCTTTCCATAAATGTATTTTTTGTAGTTTGTCTATATAACTAGATGGACTCTGTTCAAAATAAAATAAGTCATTTTGTAAGTAAAGTCTTTAAAGGGCATCTGCTTGCCAGGATGCAAACTACATCAATAACATGAATGATGGGGATGATTTAAAAAATTAGTCCCAATACTGAGTGCTTATCCCAGAGGACTACATGTACAGAGGATTTTTACCATGATTAATGCTGGATTTGTTGTGGATTACCTGCTTTATATGTTTTTAAGTGTTTGGGGTTTTTTTCTGTACAAACATTTATGACTTTTCACATTTTCAAGTTCAACGTAGTGAGACAAGGGTTTGACTGAACAGAATAAAATGCTGACCAAATGCCATAGAACTGTGATTGTCTGACGCTGGTAGTCTTTTCATCTTCCTCATATTACCACAAGGACAGAAATAGGATTTGGAAATTTAACACTGAAAATTGCACAGACATTTAGTGCATCATAAATTGCAGTCAGTATTTAGTGTGGTCAAAAAGAGCCAGTGCCCAGAAATAAGAGATCTGGGAGTTTGTTGATGGGTCTCAGGCCTATGGGAAAATGGGAGACCTGAAGTCTCCATAGGAGAGTCAAGGAACATTTTGTCCCCTTTGGTGGGGGAGGGTTAGAAGATTCAGCAGAACAAGATGAATCATAGGGGTAGATCATTACAGGCTTTATGACAGGAGCCCTTTAAATCCCACCGTGAATCCACTTAAATGCCCGTCATAGGAAGCTGAGGTAGCTAGCACCAAAAAGGGGCAATAAGTTAGGGTATATCTACACTACCACCCTAGTTCAAATTAGGGTGGATAATGTAGGCAACCGAAGTTGCAAATGAAGCCCGGGATTTGAATTTCCCGGGCTTCATTTGCATCTTGCCGGGCGCCGCCATTTTTAAATGTCTGCTAGTTTGGACTCCGTGCCCGCGGCTACACGCGGCACGGACTAGGTAGTTCGGATTAGGCTTCCTATTCCGAACTACTGTTACTCCTCGTTCCACATTCCTCGTTCCACAAGGAGTAACAGTAGTTAGGAATAGGAAGCCTAATCCGAACTACCTAGTCCGTGCCGCGTGTAGCCGCGGGCACGGAGTCCAAACTAGCAGACATTTAAAAATGGCGGAGCCCGGCAAGATGCAAATGAAGCCCGGGAAATTCAAATCCCGGGCTTCATTTGCAACTCGGTTGCCTACATTAACCACCCTAGTTCGAACTAGGATGGTAGTGTAGACATACCCTTAAATAAGGTTGCAACCTGCCACTTAAAGTCCATCCCTTTTTTAGTTCTCATGCATTTGCATCTCCCAATCAACAGTGTTAATGGCAAAACTTCTACTGATCTAAATGGGGCCAGGATTTCACCCATATATTTTAATGTCAGAAACTAGCATTATAATCATCAGTCTGACATTCTGCATAACACAGGCCCTAGATTTCACCCAATGATTACAATGAACTAGCATTTTAAAAAGGTAAACATATTCCTTTATGGATGACAGGCCTGTTTATCTAGGGTAGGCTACTTTCATGTTTTTGTAACATGATACAGAGAATTAATAATTTATCATATAAGGTTAACACGTGCATTTTACAGTTATATTAATAACCAGCATATTATTAGCATGACATATGTTTTGTAAAAGGCATATTTTGTACAATTATTGATGTCATATGTAGGGAGTGAACACGGGAGTGACTAGGGTCATATAGACTTGTAGCACATTGAGGTATTGCTAAAGAAAAAAATCATGCAGAACTATAACATTATTGATTCAGTTTATATATGGTTTTTTTTTTTTTTTCCTACAGAGCACTTCAGTTACTAGTTTTTCAGTCATTACACAAAACGTAAACTGCTTTAATACTGGAATAATTTGCAGAAAGTATCTTTCCATTAATGTTGGAAAATCTTTTATAATATTTGATGATGACACTGGAAATCCAGTAAGTTTCACTTTTTAGCTCTGCAAAAAGGGGAAAATGTATATTTTGGACTGGATCATCTTGTTTATATACACTTAAAACAGCTATACTAATTAACCTGCAAATGCTTGAAACTTTTATACAGCAAATATTCTTATACAGGCAGTCCCCGAGTTACGCGGATCCGACTTATGTCAGATCCGCAGTTACGAACGGGGCCGTCTCCCTGGTCTCCAGCAGACCAGGGAGAGGAAGCAAAGAGGCGGAGCACGCGGGCAGTGGACAGCCCAGACGTGTCTGGGCTGTCTGCTGCCCGCGTGCTCCGCTGCTTTGCTTCCTCTCCCTGGTCTGCTGGAGACCAGGGAGACGGCCCCGTTCGTAACTGCGGATCTGACATAAGTCGGATCCGCGTAACTCGGGGACTGCCTGTATAAGAATATTTGCTGTATAAAAGTTTCAAGCATTTGCAGGTTAATTAGTATAGCTGTTTTAAGTGTATATAAACAAGATGATCCAGTCCAAAATATACATTTTCCCCTTTTTGCAGAGCTAAAAAGTGAAACTTACTGGATTTCCAGTGTCATCATCAAATATTATAAAAGATTTTCCAACATTAATGGAAAGATACTTTCTGCAAATTATTCCAGTATTAAAGCAGTTTACGTTTTGTGTAATGACTGAAAAACTAGTAACTGAAGTGCTCTGTAGGAAAAAAAAAAAAAAACCATATATAAACTGAATCAATAATGTTATAGTTCTGCATGATTTTTTTCTTTAGCAATACCTCAATGTGCTACAAGTCTATATGACCCTAGTCACTCCCGTGTTCACTCCCTACATATGACATCAATAATTGTACAAAATATGCCTTTTACAAAACATATGTCATGCTAATAATATGCTGGTTATTAATATAACTGTAAAATGCACGTGTTAACCTTATATGATAAATTATTAATTCTCTGTATCATGTTACAAAAACATGAAAGTAGCCTACCCTAGATAAACAGGCCTGTCATCCATAAAGGAATATGTTTACCTCAATTTAAATACTATTAGTAAACGAAGCCATGGAGTTAAACCAACAAGGGTTATCTAGAACCTGAACTCAAGATACAGAGAATTAACATAGTTCCTGCACTCTAGAGAGACACAGGAGACTGAATCCCAAGGAGGCTTTCCTGACTTGTAAGGCAAAGGCAATTCCTTTCGTAATATAAGAGAAAGAGAGAGACTCCATATTTGTCCTTCACTCTAAGGAAACCAAGGAACCAAGCAATTTGATCTCTTTGATGGGTCCTGGCTAGCTCAGCCAGTGAAGAACTGGAAGGGAGGCTGTGGGTAAAAGAAACAATCTTGAACAAAGACTGGATTAGGGATGTAAAATTCTGTTTAATTGGGTAACTGGTTGTACATTATGTTTAATCGGTTAACTGATTAAAGGGGAGGTGAGTAAGGGAGTGATGGAGTGCCCCACCACCCCACTGTGGACAAGGGCTGGGGCGGGGGAGCCTGGCCAGGCCCACCACGGACAGGAGCTCCTCCAGCTGTCTGGTCAGAGCAGCCCCTGCATGAGGAAGAGGTGGGCAGGTGGGCCACGCCTGCCACAGACAGAGGCGGATCTGGCAAGCTTGAGCAGCCCCTGTCTGTGGTGGGCCCCCTGGTACCTTTATCTCTTTTTCGTGGTATTACTTAAGCCATGCTCCTTTGTTAATAATCTCATATGATTTAATTATAAGTTAACGGAGCCGCATACGTTCAGTTAAACGAGTGCTTATAATAAGCTGACAAGTTGAAATGTTACACTAATACTTTTTCTGTGAGTTTCTGCGGAGAGATAGTCTGGTCCCTGCAATAGGATTATTTGGGGGCCAATTCAGGGCTGGAAGGGTATTAAGGTCAGCCTGCACAAAGTAACCAATTTGGGCAGTCAGGTGGAGGCTTATGAGCTGTTGGTAAGTTGCTGGGGTCAGAGTCCTGGATCAAAGCTGCACAGCCACCCAGGATTACAAATTAGATGTGGACTGAACCCCTTACTGGCCCAAGTGAACCTCAAAACATTCTAACTCTCAAAACATTCTAACTAACAAATAGTACAAGGTTTTAGCATCAACAAAGTTCATACAGTGACAGGTGAAACATCAATATAAGATACAGGTAAGCAAGAAGTAGAATGGAAGAGGAATTATACTCTGATGTCGTAGAAGCCTGGAAAGCCTCAGGCCTTGTCTACTTTCATTTGTTTCCCTAAATATGACTGTAAATTTTGTCTTTTTTTCCTGACTATATATTTTGTTCAACGTTGGAAATAATTTTCATTATAATGTTAATCATGCAAATGAAATAACAATGTGATATTACATAAAGTGAAGATTTTTTTTTTAAGTAGCAAAAAAAAATCTTTCCAAGGTTTGCAAATTGCAGACATTCCCCCTATTTATATTTTTATCCAAATTTGGGGAGACTTTAAAGAAAAGATTCTCACCTTAACTAGATGAACCTTACAACCTCCAAAGAAGTCAAATGTGAGTCCATCAAATGTCCTGTAATGCCGATCCCCATAGACTGTACACATTGAAGGACAGGGATGGAAGGTGCATTGAAATGACCCATGCTGGCAAATACTGAAAATGTATGATCAATAATGTAGTACCACATGTAGAAACTGACAAATAAATCATAGTTATTTTACTGATCATTTTTCAAAGTTAGAAATATTAATAAAAAGAAAAATCAGTAAAAAAAACATTTCTACAAAGTGTTAGGAGTGGAGTTAGATTGTGTACTGAAATGTTATATAGAAATGGTATCAATAAAACCCACCCTGAAAAATATTCTGCATGTTGATTTGATACAGTTTGCATTTACATACATTCAACAGTATGTTGAATCTGTAGGATCCATAGTGTATCAGACACTGGCATTTCCTATATTGAACCAGTAGAAAAATATTATCTCTGCTATCAATTTAATACGTTACATAGTATTAAAAATATTTTTGTTAATTTATTTGAACCCAAATGTTAAAATAAAATTACTGAATATGACATACCAGAAAATGGGATGAAAATATACTCCAGAACAGCAAAGCAAAACAGGAAAATAACTAAACATTTATAAGGGAGATTCTAACATGAGATTAAACAGCCAGATAGATTTCTGCTTACCAGGTATAACAGGAAGAAATGACTTTGTCACCTGGGAAGTATTCCTTTCCTTTCCATGAACACGGGCATTCACCTGGCTCAAAGCATGTATCACCATGTTTAACAAGGCTGTCAAAAACATCAAGTATACATCCAATGCAAATATATTTTTTCAGATCACCTATACGTTTATAAATCTTTTCATTGCCCTTTAAATAATTTGTAATTAATTCCACAACATTTTTCTTTTTTAAAAGCAGCAGCAATATTTTAAATCCATTTGAGAACTGAAAATACATTTTATTTTGTTCCTAATACAGGTTGAACCTCTCGAGTCTAGCACTTTCTAATTTCATTTAGCCGGATGTCCACTTATCACGGGTCAAGTTTCCTATAGTCCCATAAAGTTTGTTTACAGCTACCAGTCCTGACTCTCAGTGTTCTGTGCTGTTATTTAGCACTAATTTACCCTAAATGTCTTCTAAGAGCCCAGTAAACAGTGGAAGTGTTGGTAATGCTGCTAGGCAATATTGACCTTCCGTGTTTCGGCAAATTCTCTGGTTCAGCACCAGTCAGGTCCCAAGAGTGCTGGACTAGAAAGTTTCCACCTGAACAAGTTTTTTGCCAGTACTTCACATTTACATTCATAGTTATCTGACTATTTCAGCCTTAATTAAAATTAAACAGTGGAATGGGATATTAAACTCTAACTCTGCAAAGAATAGAGGCATAGATTTTAAAGTCAGGAGGAACCATTAGACCAATGATCTAGAATGACCTACTGTATAACACCAGCCATAAAATTCCATCCAGTTACCTTTGTATTAAGCCCAAATAACTTGTGCTTGACTAAAGCGTATTTTCCAAAAAAGCATCAAATCTTTTTTTGAAGACATCAAGAAATGAAGATTTCACTATATCTTTTGGCAGTTTGTTCCAGTGGTTAAACCACTCACTGTTAAAAAAAATTGCCCCTTACTTCTAATTTGAATTTGTCTGATTTTAACTTTGATCCACTGGTTCTTATGTTTTTTCTGGCAGATTAAAAAGCTTGTGGATACCCAGAATTTTCTCCTCACACATGCTTATGCACTGCAAGTAGCCCCATTTCCTCCAAATAAAAGATAAATGATAAATGAAAAGTTAGAACAGAATAACAATTCTTCAACAACATAATATGAGTGGACATTTTTTCTTGTGCAATTTAATGCACCATTTGATGATGGAAATTTTAAAAAGTCCCAATGGCACATTAATGAAATTTCAGAAATTTCAGTTGCCACTGGCGAGAAACAGATTTACAGAATGAGAAAGTTTTTTAAATGTGAACCCTTCCTACAATTGTAGGAAGTAGACTCTCAGTTGTAAACTTTATGACTCCAGCTTGCATTGATTTCTACTTTTGCACACCCTTATCTCTGTGCAGTCTCTTCTGACCATAAATAAAAAATAGTGGAGAAAAACATGACAATTAAGTAGAAAAGGTGAGATGGATCCCTTGAAAGCCCCATAACATCTAAACTTATCTTTTTTTATTAAAAAAGCACCAAGTTTTGCCATTGACTGCCTTTGGGCAAGAAATAACAGTATTGCTGCCAGGCAGTTGTTGGCTTCTTTAAAAAGCTTATGTAAGTAGTTTTTAAGAATACAAGTTCTCTGCTACAATGTATGCAGAGAATTTCCCTGAGAAAACTCACTAGACTAGTCCAAATTACTCAGAAATGTCATATCTGTTGGTCATTGCAATGTGTGTATGCCAGAGGATCTGAGACAGGGGAGCAGCTCATCACTGACAGTCAGATCCTGGACAAACTGGTTGGTGCCACTATTTTATCTCTGCAGGAACCCAAAGGAAAAATTAATTTATTGCATCAATTGCGTTCATCCCAGCGTTTGTATTAGGATTTTGTAAACTAAGTTCTGTGACTATAACCTAGAGCTCAATGCAATATAATTTAAAATAAAAAACAATAACAATAACTTTACCACTCTGGAGCTCTTTTGCTGGGAACATAAGTAACAGCATCAGGAAAACAAGAAAACAATAAACTGAAAGATTTTATTTTGCTTGAAAGCATTTGAAATGTCCTTTGTAAGTTATACCCATTGCAAGTTTTCTGTCACTTCTTGTACAGTTTAACTACAAGACCACAATTCCCACTGATTTACGGTACAAACTGAATAGGCCACATTCAGAGAGAAAGAACATCACATTGACAAGCTAAGACCAAATGCAAGGTTCATCTCTGTAATATTACACTGGATAAAATAAGTGATAACAGCTCGCTCTCTTGCAAAGCCAGGGAACTAGATTGATTTCAACGATCTAAGAATTCATAACAATATGCAATTTAGATACCTAGAACTTTTCTTTTTCTTTTGAAGTATCAGATGTTATTTTTAACACCTATGTTTAATGTGCAACCCAAAGACCAGTGTGAAGGGTACACTTATTTCTAACTTCAAACTCAACCTGTACTGAATCAAATTCATTGCCACCTTATTAGGTTCCTATGGTTTTGATCAATTTCAATCACATACCTTGCAGATATTTAAATAACATTCATGAGGTGGAGGGGAGAATTATTAGAAGCAAAAATGACATTTTTGAGCGAGTAAAAGGATTAACGGATAAAAGCTTCTTTACTCTCACCAAGCTCAAGTACCTGGGCTTGAGAAGTATAGAATCATCTCCATGGGCTGCACTGGCAAGAGAGTCACATCAAGGTCATTACCACAGTGTTGGGTCTTCTGTAACCTCAGTGCCTAGTGCACTCACTTCTTCTTGCTATGCAAAGCCATATGGCCAGTGATATTCCCTGACCCAACTCATGAACCTGTGAGTGGGGCTTCTCTCACCCCTCTGCAAACTCCTCAGATTTTGTCCTCAGTGCAGAGGCGGTGTCAAGAGGGAAGAAAACTGCAAACACCAATTATTATGAGCATACTCCAAAGACATAAATAAGCTCCTGACTAGCTGACAAGAAAAAGAGATGTACAACTAAACTGATGTGTCCTGTGCTTATTATTGGTATTACTGCAGCATCTAGTGGACCCACTGTAGAGGATACAGTGGCTGGCCTAGTAGAGTTAATTTGTTCCTAGAGCATGTTTATGCAGGCAGAATTATGCTATTGAAACATTAAGGCTACGTCTACACTGGCCCCTTTTCCGGAAGGGGCATGTAAATTTCTCTAGTCGTCGTAGGGAAATCCGCGGGGGATTTAAATATCCCCCGCGGATTTCCCTACGACGACTAGAGAAATTTACATGCCCCTTCCGGAAAAGGGGCCAGTGTAGACGTTCTAGACGCTCTTTTCCGGCTTTTTTAAAAGCCGGAAAAAAGCGGCAGACATTTTTATTTAAATGCCGCGGGGGATATTTAAATCCCCCGCGGATTTCCCTACGACGACTAGAGAAATTTACATGCCCCTTCCGGAAAAGGGGCCAGTGTAGACGTAGCCTAAGTGTCATGGCACTTTAGTCAACTTTTATTTATTCACTGACAGCATTGCCAAATGTCAGGCATCTTGCACAACACATTCCATTTGAAATCTGTAATAGGGGGAGACTCAGTTCTTGTCTGCCTCTTAGCCATTGGGTGTAGTACCAGAGTCCTTTTTTGCTTGTGGCACTCCCTGAGGGTTGGAAGCTAACCGTGGTAGGTTTTCAGTGGCTTGGCCCTCTGATCAAGTCATGAAGTCCAAATGAACCCAGGGTATCAAAGAATCCAAAAACTAACAGTATGTTTGCCTGCACTAAGGTCTTCAGCCCTGCACTAAGGTCTTCAGTCTATAATTAATCCAAAAATGAATCATCCTTTTCTTTTGTGAATGTGTGTAAATGTAGATATGCCAGATGGAATATTCTTGGTTTGTGTCGTTTTCACCTGTTGCACAGCAGAATAACAAATTGTCTGCTAAATGACCGACTTCATTTCATGGTTGAAGTAGTTTCCAACAAGGGGGACAATTCAACAAAAGTGAGCGGATCAGTAGACTCACTCATCTTTGCCAGTTAATAAATAGCAGCTGCTTTTTGGATTGAGATCAAAAAGCTGCCTGCTTTGTACTTTGCACAATGTTAGCATGAGAACCATCTGAACAGTAATATGCATATCAAAAGACATATAACCATGTATTGGCTTGTCTGGCTCATGGTTCTCAACTGTACTTGGAGAGGGGAAAAAAGTAAAACAGCTGTAGCTATAAGAACTGTAATATAATATATAAATTGTACTTCCTTTGTCCAGCACCCTTGGGACCTGACTCATCCCAAACCAGGGAATCTGCCGCACAGGAGGAGGTCAATGCCAGCCCCTCTATTGCTGCCGGTTGTGAGGTTCCACTCCAGTGACAGCAAAGGGACCAGCACTGACTGAGTGGGAACTGGGTGTATGTAGGGGGATGCACTCAGGGAAAGGGTGACTGTGGAGCCCTGTGGTCGGAGGCCAAGAGCATCGTCCCACAGGAGCACACTGAGCCCCGCAGCTGCAGAGCTGCGCTCCCAAGCCCCCAACTCCAGCCATGGGGCTGCTCCTGGCTCCCGGCCACCAGGCTCCATGGCCTCCCTGCCTCTTCCCCAAATGTTCCTCCCTTCATCCCCCCCCCTTAATACCCAGACTTTGGGGAATCTGCTGCCACCATCAAGTGCTTTTGAAACCACAAATGGGTGGACACTTGAAACCACCCCCAGAGGTACCCCAAGCTCTTTTCCCCCCAAAAAAGCTTGAAAAAGAGATAAGAGAAAAACAAGCTACAGTCTGTGATAGCTGACCCCTCAGTCAGACAGACAGACCTTCCAGGACCCCCCCCCCATCCCCTGCTCCTCATCTTCCGCTCCCTGTATTTGAGTGGAATCTCTGGAAGGGAAGAGGAATAGTTATTGAGCATGAGGCCCATTTTTCCCTGTGAGTGGTCTAGCCCAGAAGCACCCTCAAGGATGATGGTCCACAGATGTTGCCAGACTATGGCAGTTTAGACTATAGAAAATGTACATATCTCTCTGTCTCTGTCTCTCAAAAATAGGCATCTGAAACGCATGCTACATGTACGGCCACTCAGAAATCAAATGGTGTGGGTGGAAGGGTTTCACTTCAAGTTGAATCTAAATCCTGAGGTAGGGGGTTG